TTTTCGGGTCTAGGGTTTTGGGCTTATGGCTGAAGTTGTGCCTGAACCGGGGCTTTGGGTTTGGAGTCCATTTAGCGTAAACCCCAAACCCCTAAACCCTAAACCCCTAAACCGCTAAACCCTAACCCCTAAAACCCTAAACCCTAAAACCCTAAACCCCTAAAACCCTAAACCCTAAACCCTAAAACCCTAAACCCTAACACCCTAAACCCAAAAGAAGCGCGCATGGGAGCACGTGAAAGTGGCGACCTGCGTCTCGCCGGGTTCCAGCCTTCCGTAGATCGGCAAGATGTCGAAGACCTGGACCGGGTTAGGGTTTAGGGTTTAAGGTTTAGGGTTTCGGGTTTAGGGTTAAATTGCAAATCTTAACTGAAAAGTGTAGAAAAGGCTGGCCTACGATACTAGGGTTCCTGTTTCAAGGTTTCTGCCTATAAGGCTTTGAAAAGGTAGGGTTACTAAGGAAAGCCAAGAAATCCAAAACCCGCTCCCCACCCTTGAACCCTGAAGCTGACGTAGGGGCCTCAACAATCAGAATAGGGTTTTGAGCTTCCTTATTATACTTATATTATAGTAGTATACCCCAAACCCTATTCGAATCATAAAGGGCCCTATATTACAGGCCAAGAAATCCTCAAGCCGGAACCTCTGGCTCACATAGGGGCCTTGATGAACTTGGCAGCACATCACAGTAGAAACGTCCAAGGTCCGTAAACATATTTATAGGACCAGAAATCCCATCCCAAAAAATGCATCCCTTAATACTCTCATCGAACCCTTACAAAGGAAGCTTCAAAGCAACCCTCCCCGAAACCCCACGGCGCCTGGCTCAGCTCCACGTCTTGCAGTGCGTTGTGTCCGTCTCCGTGACCCAAACTGTGCAAGAGGGAAGGCATGTTGTAGCGGCAAAGCGAAGATGAATATAGGGCTGCTATAAGGCTTCTACACAAAATTGCTGTAAGGGTGTAAGGGATTCTATAGATTAATGGGCTTAGGACACAACCGCCAGCAAATAGCGCCTTATTGTGAGGGTTGAGGGGCCGTGCTTCGAGTGCTTGCGTTTGTGGCAGCCTGTGCAGGAGATGGGTGGGTTGTAGTTCACGTTCCCTCTCTAGGGATTGCGATAAACTGGACCGAAAAGACATGAGCTTTATTAGTGAGGTCTGCAATACTCCGTTTGTGGTGTTATATGTAAGCCACAGCAGATGCCAAAACTCTTGTAGCGAAGCATTTTCGAAAAGCTGCATTAAAACTCTGATCTGCAGTCTTCCGACTTCGGATCCGTCGTGGAAGCCGCGAGCACACTGCTGTACCTTGAAGCCTTGAAACCCCCATGTACGTACTATAGCACAGTGCTGGCTGAACCAGGCTTGAATATGCAGCAGCTGCAGTCTGACATAAACCCTAAACCCAAATGTAAGGAGCCTGAAAGAAACCAAGTCCCTAAACCCTAAACCCTAGTCCCTAAACCCTAAACCCTAAACCCTACTCCCTAAACCCCAAACCCTAAACCCTTAGCCCTACACCCTGAACCCAAATAGCATGAGGACGGTGGGCCGACTCTGAGATGACACGCAGTCCAAGCGATCTGAGGCTTAGGCGAGGAGTCATTCTTAAGCAAATCCTTTAAACTCTAAGCCATACCCTTGAACCCTACACCTTAGACCCTAAACCCTAAACCTTACACCCTACAACCCTAAAGCCCTAAACCCCTAGAGCCCTACACCCTGAGACAAAACCCTAGAACCCTAAACCCTAAACCCTAAACTTAAAAGGCTAAAAAAGCCTAAACAAGGACACTATGAACCCTAAACCCTAAAACCCAAAACCCTAAGCCCTAAATTTAAAAGCCTAAAACGCCTCAACAAGGGCACGGTCAAACTAGGCCTCCCTAAACCCTAAAACCCCAAACCCTAAACCCTAAACTTAAAAGGCTAAAAAGCCTAAACAAGGACACTATGAAACTCGGCCTCGTGTTCAAGCTGGCCCAGCTCGCAGACGTGGACACGGGGCTGTTGAGAGCCTTGCTAAAGCGGGATGGTTGAGGGTTGAGGGTTGAGGGTTTAGGGCTTAGGGTTTAGGATGGTTGATGGTTGAGGGTTTAGGGTTTTAAGATTTAGGGTTTAGGATGGTTGATGGTTGAGGGTTTAGGGTTTTAGGATTTAGGTTTAGGGTTGAGGGTTGAGGGTTTTAGGGTTGAGGGTTGAATGGTTGAGGGTTGAGGGTTGAGGGTTGAGGGTTTAGGGTTGAGGGTTGAGGGTTGAGGGTTGAGGGTTGAGGGTTGATGTTTGAGGTTTGAGGGTTGAGGGTTGAGGGTTGATGGTTGAGGGTTGATGGTTGAGGGTCTTAGGGTTTCAGGGTTTCAGGGTTTAGGGTTTAGGGCTTTAGGGTTTAGGGTTTAGGGTTTTGGGGTTGTTCAGGGTGTTGCGGCATGTAGTTAGGGCTAATATGCGTCCAGGGGTTCGGGTATACGGCGTGTATGCATATGCGATGGCGAGTCAGAAACTCCGTAATCACCTTACTTCGGACCTGTCGGAAGTGAACAAGTAACCATATCAACCCTCGTAATATTATAACTTCATAATTTCCCTACAGCTTGCTTTGCAATGTCCCTATGTCGAAAACGCCTATTCTACTCCCGACATCTCCCTTGGAAACCTAAACCCTAAACCCTAAACCCTAAACCCTAAGAAACCTAGAGCTTAACATATCGACTGCTAGGCAAGCCCCTTGACATCCCGACCTCAGGGCTGTTGATGGGTCCTATTCTAAGAAGAACCGACTTAGCCTAAGTCTAGAGTGTCTAGAGTTCAGACCCCAAAATTCCGATGATCCCTAAACCCCGAAGCCGAGGCCATGCAGGATCTATGTGCTGGGACTCCTGGTGGCTTCTAGTCTCCCGCAGTCAGGGCTTAGGGCTCAGGGTTTATAGGGCTCGATGGTTCCTGCTAGCAAGAGAGCCCCAAGAGCAAGGGTACTATTTGGGGGTTTCAGGGTTTAGGGGTCGCTGGATCCCCTAATGCCGAAGCTAAACCCCAAGCCCTGAAACCCCCCCAAAAAAACTCCAAACTCCAAACCCTGTGTCCCTCATAGACCCCTTATTCACACCCAAGCCTGACTGAAATACTCCAAAATGCTTACCATCTTCGACGGCGCATTTTTTACCATACATACCACCAGTTGAACTTGACGCACGCGCGAAAGCCAAATCCCAGGCATGTTGTATCAGGATCGGCTTTTTGAGCAGACAACTCGCTGGCAAGAGAATTCAAACCTTATGACTAAGGCCTAGGGTTTTTTCTGGGGGTGTAGCATGCAATACGGCCAGACTTGCTATACATAGAATCAGGAGCTCCAATATAGTACGGGTATTTCCCCTAGACCCGAAACCCCAGATAAAAGCCCGTATACGATCCAAATAATATAGAAGCCTAAACAAGTACCAATAGTATTTTGGTGGTTCCTTATTATGAGTATAGTATAATATACCCCAAAACCCTATTCTACTTATTAAGGCCACTACAGAACTAGCCCTTGAAAGGGGAGGTGGGGCTCGGGAGTGCAGCGCCAAGCGGAGCCCAATCGAAACGTTCCGACCTCCAATTGGCGCCCACTAGTTCAGGGTTTAGGGGTTTAGTGTTAAGGATTCTAGACGTGTATGGGTTTAGGGTTAAGGGTGTAGGGTTTAGGGTTTCGGGGGATCTCTGGCGCAAGGAGAGGTGCAAACAACAGACGTTCATTCCATCTGTCCTTCGCTGTTGAAGCTCCATGCGGCCTGAAGAGGGCTCACCAATATTGCAACTGTCAAAGATGCCAAGCAATCATGACGTGTGAAACTGCACTTTAAACCAACCCCCCTAAACCCTAAACCCTAAACGCTGAAAGACCCAAGGCGCTATGATAAGGACGCTACACCTTAAAACGAAACCAAGCCTAAAAGCCCCGAAACCTCTAGAACCCTATTTAAAACGGTCGCAACGACTTTTCGAACCTAAACCCTGAACCCTAAACCCTAAACCCTAAACCCTGAGGACCTGACGCCATCCTCGGCTACGGCACTGTGCGCCGTAAGCGACACCACCTGAGTTGACGCCATCGTTAGGGTTTAGGGTTTAGGGCGTCGAAGTCCAAAGACCCTAAACCGTCCTTGAGGAGTTCTCATGGGGCTTCTAAAAGACTCGATATGGGTCTAGGAGATATATGTCAAGGGTGTGCGGCTTCAGAGGTTGTGGTGTTTTGTGCGCTTCGGGTTTTAAGGAACGGAGAGATTGGCACCTGAAAGTAAGCTTTTGACAACAGCATATCAACACTGTTCCCTTCCGGCCCGTTAGCGTTGTAGTTTTTTCGAAAGGACAAAGGACTTCAACCCAAAAAGATACCGAAAACCCTGAAACCCAACAGGAACCTGCCAAGATCGCATCAGTTCTTGGGCCCCCAGCTGTTCATGAAGAGGCATTCGTATGAAGCCGCAGGAAATTAATGTGTGCCATGCTTCACCCTAAACCCTAAACCCTAAACCCTAAACCCTAAACCCTAAACAGTTAGGGTCTCCTGCCAGGCCGAACCGCGATGTTTGAGGGCAGCGCAGATCCCTGGAATCGTCCCCCGAAGGAGGTCCTGGAGTCCTGCACCAGGGGTGGACAATCTTCAGTCCGAGAGGCTTGAGGCAGAGGATGGGAACAGCATCAGGTTTAGGGTTTCGGTTTAGGGTTTAGGGTTTAGGGTTTAGGGTTTAGGGTTTAGGGTTTAGGGACAAAGTAGCCAATCGAATGACTGCTCAAAGAGCAATGCTCAGTAAGCAGGTGAGGTGAACATCTTAAACCCTAAACCCTAAACTGCCGCAACCTATAAACCCTAATTAAGCCCTCAACCGTAAACCCAAAGCCCTATAAACCCTAAGCCCTAAACTGCCGCAGTCCCCTTAGCCGAAAGCCCGGGGACCAGAACGAACGCTGCAACAAGCCCCTCAGAAAACCAGCGACATCCTTCTTCCCCAATCTGCATGCCCTGCTCGCCTCCAACAGCCACATCCTGCCCAAAAGTTGGAAACCCAATAGCCTCAATCCTTAAGAGTAATGCATAAGGAATCCCAGCACTATTTGTCCTTAACCCGGTTTCCAACTTTTTGGGGCTTACTATACTTCCTAACTTCCCTGGGCCCTCAACTGGGCGCCCTGAATGAAGGATAGCGACGCTTTCAGAGAACTGCACTCTGCTTTCCAAGTATCCTGAATCGTCCTGGATGTTGCACTTGACGGGCCGTGTCCCCAACCGCAATTCCTACCCGCATTCGAACTTCGGCTTTAACCGAAAATGCCGAACAATAGCCAAAACGGTAAATAGAAAACCCCACCTAAACCCTAAAACCCCAAGCCCCTAAGCCGTTTCGTCAACCATTATGCAATGTGGGATCGGTCCAGCTGGCTGGTTGTGCCGGGCGTACGTGGATTGGAGGCATCTTCAACCTAGCCGACTAGGAACTACAATTTAGGGACCAGGCATTGCGCTTTAGAGTTCGGGATCAGGATTAGGGCTTAAAAAATCACTGTATACCCTGACACTCAAGGCCTGGTTGGCGCATGGTTCAAAGTCTTTGCGGTTACTAGTATGTGTATGACAATGAGTAGATCTACGATTACAAGTGTGATTGACACCATGATGAATACGACTATGGCCTTGGTGATGACCGTGACTATGACTATGACTATGGTCATGACTATGACTATGCCTCTGGGTATGATCATGGTCATGACCACTACTACGACTATGGCTATGACTATGTGAAGAAGTCTTGTTTTCTTTTTGCGGCCAAGGTATACTGAAGCTTACTTTTTTGCTTTGTCTCAACGGAGCTGGGGGGAAAGATTCGGGATTCAGGGCTTTGGGCATAGTAGTTTAGACGGAGACAGCAAGACAGAGAGAGAGAGAGAGA